CCGGTTCGCCACCTGGAAGCAGAAGCAGCAATCCCGCCACTAGACCTCTATCTTAGTGCCCGGGCTGCTAAGTTTGAAGAACGGCTACGGCTTAGCGGGAAGAGAAATCTGCTTCGCAGCGCGAGCGCTAAAGCGTCACATATACTCCGGCAGGATAGGCCGGCGAAGAGGAAGCAGGCGTCGCAGCTACTCCGACCGGCAGGGTACACTATGGAGAAGGAGGCCCGGGGCTCCGAGTGGATGAGTGAGGAAAAGGAGGTCCCGGCTGCCCTCCTCGACCACTGGAGGAAGAGATGGCTCACCGGAGCAGAGCATCACGATCGCCAGCGACGCGCTATCGCTGAGGAACCGGAGGGCCCTTCGATGCAGATACCGAAAGGGGGCAAGTATTTCGGCCTGAACCGACTGGAGGCGTCTACGCTGTGCCAGATCAGGACGGAAAAAATAGGACTAGCAGCCTTCTTATTCAAGACAGGGGCTTTTGGCGTGTACTCGCCGCTATGCCGCTGTGGCGATGCCCCTGAGACGGCAGAGCACGTAATCCTCTTTTGCGGGCTGTTGGAAGGACCGAGGGAACGATTACGGGCCGCTATCGCACCACGGCCACTATACTCTCGCAGAGACCTCGCAACGGCAACAGGAGAACCAGTAGTTAGTGGGACTATTGTAAGGTGGCTGCTAGGGACGGGTCGGACAGCTTCAAGGCCCAGATAGCATCGATCTTCTCAGGGGGGACTTTGTTGGTAGGTTGAGAACCAACGTAGTATGGTAGTGAACGCAACGCAGTCGCCAATAGGGCGAATCGACGACGCAGCGTATGTATTTAGTCCAGCCATTAGGGCACGGTTTGACATATGGGAGTACTAGTAGAGGTACCGGGGGCTTCGAGCCTACGGCGTATTTAATAATAATAATAATAATATATATAAAGATAACGTGAAGGTACACAATTGTATAAGTAAAGATGGAAAGTCAATATTTCTTGAAAAGTTGGGCAAAGACCCGTGTGGGGCAATGACCTGTGGGTGACGTTATATATAAAATATAGAATAGTAGAGAGATATATTAATTAAGATAGGATCGCTATAGAGTTATTAATAGAGGATTAAATCCCTTATAGTAGTATCTTGTCGTTACTAATCGACGGTTTAATTATTCTATTCGATCTTGTCTCTACTCGTATGTAAAGATAGGTGCTGTGACGGTTGTCACGTGATTGACCGATACTGGTCTGAACAGATTGATAAGTGATTGCAGATACCAAAGTCCCTGACTTTGGTATTGGTCTCTTTTGGTGAAGACATCTGGTACGGTGGCGTAGTGGCAAGGATTGCAACCCCTAGCACGGCGTGACAGGTGCGGCTAGGTGCTAGGGAAGGTGACTACGGTTAGGCTAATACGGAAGTTAATTCTAAGAAGTAAAGTATTTTATTAACTTCTATCTGCCGAGCTAAGTATTACGCGTTTAGCCCCTTTCAAGGAGCTTAATCTCCGATATTTATCCGACCGCTCGGTAGCTTTAGCTATATAGCTATATAGCTATACCGCTATATTATCCTAATCCTTATAATTACTTTCCCTCCTAAAGCTACTAGTCTTTAGTAGTATAGCTTATAGAGAATCTTTAGTAGTTCGGCCTACCTAATTTTCTCTAACGGTAATACGCTTATTCCGTCGCTAGCTTTATCCGGCTAATAATTATAAGACGTATAGTCTAGTCGCCGAATATTACGATAATATTTCTTATAACGTGAATGTACACCGAGCTGGCCATGACACCGAGCTGGCCACCCTTACATAACCTCGCATAGAAATTTTACGATAGAAAACCACAACGCCGTAAATCAATTGAAACTACTCTGAATCTTCCTCTCCAGAAGATGGCAATGCGATCTTACAAGCTCGCGCATTATGCCCAGTCCCGTTGCAAATACCACAGCGCCTCGGGTGCGTTTCAACACGCTTTGCGCGACCACCATTTCGGCGCTCTTCTTGCTGTATCTGCGTCGCCAACTCCCTAGAGTCCCGTAGGTCCTGTCCTTCTTGGAAAATAAGTGATTCTCCTTCCCATAATTGCATTTTTTAGTCCTCCGGCGCCGGCTTAGCATCTTATTTGCCTCTCGAAGCTCAGCCCACTCGGCCCGTATGAGGGCGAGCTCGTGCATTATCATTTTTGCTACCTTCGCAAACTGGTCGACAGCTGAGAAAATATTCGTCGGAGAGCTATTCTGATGCTCGAAGATGCGTTTTTCAAAAAAGTAGACTGTGCATGAGCCTCTATCGGGTTCTGTGGCGTCTTTGATACCCACGGTCGGGTTGCGATTTCTGGGGAGCCAACAGGCGTCGGGGTCCGTAGTCGTACGTCCAGCTTTGAAATCACACTTTCTGGATTGAATGGAACAAGCCCTGCCCTTCGAAAGCCAGCTTGAACGTTTTTTTCGCCGAAAACTGCAAGGAAGGCGTCTTTGAAGATAGGAAAGAAGTCCTCCTTCGCGATGTGTTAGTGACCGGCGTATCAATTTCTCTACCATCTGGCCGTACACCCGCTTTAATGGACCGAAACCGGCCACGTCAAGTGGCTGGAGGATGTGAGATGAGTGCGGAGGCATACACAAAGTTACAATTTTGTGTTCTTTGCAATATAGCTCGAAATCGCCGGAAACGTGGCTCTCGTGACCGTCCAACACTAACAATCGATATTCCCGGACTTTCCATCTTTCGTACAATTATCGACGTGTTTAATAAATTCCATACCGATCTCGTTAGTCGTCCATCCTTTTGGACTAGGTCTAATTCTCCAATCTTTCGGAATGTTGTCGTCTTCGTACCAAGAAGAGAGGTGGTATCGGCCCGCAACAACGATGAACGGCGGCAGCGCCCAACCGGTAGACTGGACCGCTTGGATTACGGTAACCCATTCCCGGTTACCTTGCTGTATTGATTTCGGCCTGGCACGTCGTTCGGAGCTCGTAACTACTATATTGGTTGAGATCTTGCCCAACGAGTTTTCAACTCTTTGCGACGTGCGACGAACCTCGAGGCCCAGCGCGTTCCAATGGGCCCTGCGTTACGTGTCGCGCGGATAGAATTTGCCATTGCTTCCACATCAGCAATCCGGGGCGGAAGTGCTCGTGCATCTAAGTCCAGTATATACTTGATAATGACCTCCTCTTCTAATTCTGTCATAGTTCGTGAATTGGGCAAAATATCGCGTCGGAAAGGTACGCCGTTTTTACGCGTTTGGGGGGTGCTTCGGGGGACTTGGTACGTTTTTGCCGCTTGTCGGAGACTAAGTTTTTGGTCATTTTTGAGAGCTTGAAGGGCTAGCATTAAGTCTGCTTCGTTGTATGACTTTGCCATAATTGGTCGTTGAGAAAATCAAAGATTAAGTTGGCCGGTCGCGTTGGCGCATGAAAGTGGCCAGCTCAGTGTCATGGCCAGCTCGATATACATTCACGTTAAGCTAAATAGATTATTAGATAAGTAGATATTAATATTATAATAAATATAGACTCGGATCGGTTATCTAGATCTTTAGCTTCTAGCCCTTAACATACTACTTCATAGACACTTTAATTTCAGTGTCATTAGTTGATAGCTGTTATCTTATTAAGGTTTCAAGTTATCCTATTTAAGAAGGAATTCGTTGCAAATTGTTGTAAAGGTGGTCAAGGCGGTTACAATTGCTAGCTGAGGCTAAAAGGTTGCCACTGCTGCTCCTGCAGCTATGCTGAAACGAGCCTTAGTAACATGTCATGAATCATCAAGGGCAACCCACTTGTCTTTCTTGACGTCAATCCCCTCTTCAACCCCGATGCATCCATTCATATCCAATTGGGCACAAATTATTCTTCTTTGCACTGCACCTTGCCAAGGCTAGGCTTCACTTCCGTATCGTAGGGCATATTGACTCATCTGATCCTAGCAAAACATTTACCTACAAAAGTCCCAGTAGCAAAGCTTTGGAGAAGTACACGATTTGCTAAGCAAGCAGGGCTGTTTGACGTCATTACGAGGTCAAAACCCTCTATATCTTTACTAATGCGAGTTCTCGTTAACATGGCCACGTGATTGATTCGCGACGTACTTTCGTGAACGCATTTTTAAGTAGACTTTTAATGGGCGACTGCCCTGTAGTAGACCAAAATGTCACCATCGTCCTCCAAAGCGAGGCAGTAGTGGTGTTGAGGATATGAGGACTGGAGACTCGAGACTGGAGGGGACTATCAGCTGGTAACTACATCCGGTCCCGCGAAGCACAGCGACTAGCGGTTTTCTCGTTAATTCCTCTGATGTAATGTCAAGATCCCACTAGATAAGGATTTTCAGTCTTGACGATGCCCTAAGGCGAGCTAGATATGGTCGTACTCGGGAACCTATCTAGCTCGCCTTAGGGCATCGTCAAGTGAGACACCGCATGGCGTCGAAGAGACGAGCCTTCCCGTCAGTTAAGAAATAAGGCGCAAAGCAATTATGTACCAAGCTGGAAAAGCGGAAGTAAAGCATGAACCCAACCTAGGCTCGATTAAAGCTACACCTACTTACCTACTTCAGGCCCGACGACCATGACGGAAACCGTGTTGCAGGACATGATCGAGCGAGTATCCGAGGAGAGAGCTCGTATCCAACAACTAGATAACAACGTGGCCCAAGATTCAACGCAGGTGCACCAATTCACAAAAATCGCACAGCAAATAGAGATAAAACCGCAATTCGAGCTCTGCAAAATGTCACTCGAGGCCCAGAAAATTTAGCGATTTTAGCTGACCATTGCTATAGCGGACAACCTGCATAGCGCAACCTTCTATACTAGCATCGAACCACTTTTTTCAAGGATAAAACGCCAGCGGGGCTGCCGTGCGTCATCATTGGCCAAGGGAATGGCGAGATGCGGATATCCCTGAACAGCAACTCGCGTAGAGTCTTCATCAAACCCCACGGCCATGTCTGATGGATTCTTTCACAAGAAATCTTATATCCGAGAGGCTCTGTGGCGACGACATTGAGCAGGCAAATGGTCATGTTGGCTTCACCAAGCGAGGTCAGATCCAGGTTACCAATCTTCATATCTTAACGGTCTGAACTTGGCTGGGCAAGCTAACTTGTGGACTGCATAGTATGCAATTGGGTTCAGATACATATTGCACGGATACTAGCTAGACGCTGATTGATATCCTTCACACGCTGTGATGGTGTGTGAGGTTGGGTGGTGCCATGACAGCCAGACAGTCCTCATAGACTGATGAGTACCAGCCTATTGCCTTTCAAGGGCATGTTGTTTGGTAGTATCGGGCGTCTCTGCATACGTGTCTTGGCCATAGGTAGAGTTAAGACATACACTGCCAACGACGTTGCCCGACTCCAGACGGATCCATGTGTCAACCTCAAGATCCTTTAACTTGGATTGGGTAATCAAAACCTGCCTCGCGCCCCGCTCCCAACTGCCGTAGCCGCCATAACCAGAATGCTGACCAAAACATAGGTTGACACCATTTCCTGTAACCGACAGACCCGGTAACAGTGAGTTCCACTTGTAGCACCAGGTATCGCCGTGGTCGTGCCCAGAGAAGACCGCCATCAAGCCGGCCGTCGAAGTGATGGCCTTCATCAATGGGACATCCTGGCCACCGTACTCACAGGTGCGATCGTCAGTGCCGTTGGGACACCACCCCTGGGCCTGCTGGGCGAGCGGGACGTCGTCATTAATGCCAGGCTCTGTGCGTGCATCAACACCCGCTTCTTGCAGCGCTAGGGACGCATTGGTGGGAATATGCACAAAGGCTAATGAGGGAATGGTTTTGTTGAACCTTTGGACCATCTCCGTGTTGGTCTCATTGAACCAGTTGACGACACTCTCGTCTACCCAGTTTGGCTGTCCAACCTGGTTACCGTCAACATCGAGTTGTTGATATAGGAAACCTCCCCTACTGTCAAAGAACCAAAGCAGCAACTCAGGAGCACATTCATCGTCGTCAGAGCACTTGGCATCATACAAGGGCAAGTAGTAATTCGACACTCCCGCGTTCGCGTCGGACACCATTTGTTGAGTACGTGCGTTTGGCCAAAGATGCTCTCGCGCGAAGATGGTGGCACCCGTCACGTTAAACGAGTAGTCGTGGTTACCGTAAGTGGAAGCCCACGAGAGGCCACGTGAGATCAAAGGGGCTACGATCTGGTCGAGATACTTGGTGCCATTCTCGTAGAATGTGTTCTCACCCGTGATCAGATCGCCATTGAAAACAACCAAGCCGGGCGACTCGGCGTCAAGAATTTCGTTTACCACCCTGGTAGAGTTGACATCCTGCTCTGGCCCCCAGGAATCCCATGCATCTTTTAGTGCGTTTGTTAGATCGTTTATGAGAGCATATGTGGCTCGGTAAAAGGTGGAAATAGCACTCACTCTCACCGAAGTGAAGATCTTCGAAGATGGATATTTGAAACGTTCCATTGTCTGTAAATCTGAGGGGGGCTGATACCTCGGAGCTGTTTGTAGATTGCCGACATAAAACGGCTCGGGGAGACATCTCAACAAGCGACGCCATTGATATAGCGCGGGAAAGAAATATTAATCAAAACAAATAGATGACTTCCCGGTGACTGCGTCGCAGCTCCTAACTATTATATACTTTACACGCCACATGACTGAAAAGAACATACAGTGTTGCATTCGGGCATGGGTTTGTAAAATGTCGATAAGGAAACTCTAGTGACGGTGCTGATTAGTCCGCATCTACATTGGATGGCAGCAGGGTTTTGAGTGCTACGTCAGACCATTCACGTGTTGGAACTCGACGATCTCTATCGCTTATGTCTATTTGCCTGCCTCGTAGATTAATTACTCATAAGTTAGAAGATTCCCCGCCAAGTTATAGTTGCTTTCTAAGCCGATATGAATGACCCTCAGCAATACTACCCAGACTACTACTATATGTAAGGAAATTATGAGGATAGTCAATATAGGTGGCAGTGGCCAAGTCAAGTCTTAAGTCAAGTGAGGTTGTACACGAGTGCGTAATACTGGATCACAGTAAGCTGAAATCTCACTCCAATCAATCCTTCGAGGCAACTTAGCTCCTTTCGTTTTGTAGTAATTCTACAAATCTGACGTTGCCTTCGACGAATCCTGACCAACTAGGTGCAACTCAAAAGCCAAATGGGCACAGAAACATTGTTCAGCACGCATGCACGTGGCTATGCGGACAATGCTGATATTTGAATCATTGACTCTTCATTGTTCACAATTTGTGTACGACACTATTTTCCCATCGAAATACCAAGCTCCATATGCCCAACGTACATGCCTACTTCCATGGATGCCGAGGCAAACCGCAAACCGCCCACTCAACTCGTAGAGTGTACAGTACACTCAATTGCCAGTGTCACTTAGTCGATAATGGGACCTTTCAATCCCGCAGGCATGGCTATTGGTATGGACGTCACTGTGACTAGAAGTATGTATCGCCGGTGTCACTGCTGAGGACCATTACTTGACAACCCTGACATCGTGCCCAAGCTCACCTCTGCCCACTACTTCAAGCCTAGGCCAAACGACCTCCCACACCTTTTCGGCCAGCTCCTCGACGCCCATGTTGGCATCCACAATTTGGATATCCTCCTCCTCTTGCCTGAATTCGGCCTGGTCATCGCTGACGTCGTTTTGACCGTCGCCGACTTTGTCCTTACCCTTGTCGGCATTACCCAAATCGCCCATACTGAGCCCCCAGAACAGCTCGCGAACGCGGTGTTGCATTTCGCCCTTCTCGTATATTTCGCCGCCCCAGCCACCGCGCTCACGGGCGACCTGCTCATCGAGGTCGAAGAACAGCACCATGTCTGGCCGCGGCAGGCCGATCTCGGGCGCCTTTGCCCACGAGAGAGACAGCAGCGGGTTCTGCTTGGCGGCGCTGTAGACGATTCCGCTGTGGTAGTAACGGTCGCAGATGACGCTGGTGCCCGCTGCCAGCGCTTGCTGGATGGTGTTCCTGCGCACCCTGTTAGAAGCGAGAGTTAAGTGATAAGAGGAAAAGGGCATTTCTACAAGGCTTCCCATCGGTTTGCGCTGAAGAGGAGGTGGATGACGTGATCCTCAATCTCGGCCTGGCCTTTGAGATAGTTGTCGATCATCTGGCCTATGGGCGTTGTTCTGTCTTTTTGCAGAGTCAGTCGTCCCCCACCGGTCGTGGAGGGAGGAACACACGTACCAGGGAAGCGCATGAACTTGACATTCCTCCCCTCCTCAATGCATCTCTGCTGCAGCAACTTGGCCTGTGTCGTCTTCCCAGCTCGATCCATGCCCTCAAATACGACAAAGGCGCCTCTCACGGGCTTCTTCTGCGGGGGTGCTACTGCGTCGGCGCCGGGGCCCGTGGCCCCATCCAAATCCACGGTCATGGGCTCGCCATCCTCGGCTTCATGAGAGACAAGGGCCGGTGGTGGAGCCGGGATCATGGCCTGGGCCGGATTCTGGGGCGATATTTGGGGTGCGGCCAGCACGGGGGTGGTGGATGTTGAAGAGATTGATCCGGGCATTGGTGCAGGTGGTGGTCCTTGGGCTGATGTTAGAGGTGTGGACCCTGGTGGTGTAGATATTAATGCAGCAGCACCTGGAAGGGACGTGGAATCTGCCGAGAATATGAGTGGCGGCGCAGATGGAGGCGATGATGGGGTTGTTGCAGACCCTGCCGCGGATGCCGATGCGGGTTGGGTAGCTTGCTGGGTGGGCGAAGATTGTAAGGCAACCGCTGACGACGCTATCGTTGCTGCAGCGGCCAGATCATTGATGGATGCCATATTTGCCGAATCAGTGCGTCAATACGTCTGGGAAATTGCGTAGATGACTTAATGAATATGAGATTGATGATGAATGAATGCCAAATTTACCTCTACCTAGAATGCGAATCCTTGTAATGGCTAATTGTGCGCGAATTGGGACGAGTATGGGTTGTTACACGTACAAAAGGATGAAGGATCAGTTGGACATCAAAGTCGAACAGCGATAGATCGTTTCGTTTTCGGTGGCATTGTCTGAGAAGGACCACCACGTCCCATCGCGACTTTACGCGTTGAAGCCCCAATCACGTGCGTCTGTTTGGAAGCGCCAATCTGGTTCTATTGGGGCTAACAAACCTCTGCTATGCTTTAGTCGAGCTGATTCTTGGGTATAGCCAAAATAGTTCACGAGATAGATGTATATATATCATTCATAAATTGTGTAATGTGTGGAATTTTGTGGCATTTCTCTTGGGAACACAGAGTATGGACCGAGCCCAACGGATTCCCTAGTAAGCAGAGCATACATTGTAAAGAGAAAATAGACCTGATAATCAACCAACAGCCAATCGCAATTAAAATGTCCCAATGCAGAAAATACTATGGATAGCCTCGTACGCGCATCAATATCCAGTATCCCGTTGCCAAAAACCCATACTCGCTTGCTTTGCCTGCTTTCCAACTCCGCCAACGCCCGTCGTAACCCCCCCGACTTGAACATCACAAGTATTAGCGATGGGATTAGGTCAGTCAACATAGTTCATCAAGGACACCTGCGCCTCACTCCCGCCTTCAACTTTCAGCACCAGTTCAGCCTGTCTCATCTTTGGTACTTCCGCTCTCCCACACGTCAAAATTTTCGTCCGTCCCTTCGATCGGCTGGAGCCGCGCAGCACTAGGCGCTGGCTCGTCCGTCTTTTGCAGCAGTTCACCTACCGTTTTCTTGCCGTCCTCTAATGTGATCTTGGCGGAAGAGCCCGCGCCAAGCTTGCACTCATGTGCGAACTCAAGTTCATCCTTTGACGGCTGCTGTGGCTCTTCGTCCTCGTCGCCAGGCACAATGATGATGCTGGCCTCGTCACAACCCTCGGCATAGTAATCCTTGATATTCATCTCGCCGAGCGGATTGCGCTCTTTCTCCACCACCATGTCATCAACATCGACAGCCAGCCTAACAGCGCGTGGCCGGCTGGTTTGGGAGATGTCGTCAGCCGGAGGAACATTCTCCTTGCCTTCGGCTCGTTCTATCTGCCGCCGGCTCTCGCACTCCTCGTCTGAGCTGATATCCAGAACGCAAGTGCTGTGCTGAAGAAGGTTGGTCATCTCCTGCTCTGTTGTGTCTTCGTGGATGTCGAAGAACCAAGATGACTTCAATTCGGGCTCATGCAGGTTATCAACTTCCGAACGGCTTTTGGATGATACGGGCTGTGACGGAGTGCTGCGGCTGGTGTAGCTGGGGATGGTACCCCTGAGGGCCGCATCGAGGGAGAAGGGCGCGTGGGACGGTTTGGATGACGCACTGAGGCCGAAAACAGGAGGGTCGACGCGCGTGTACGGGCCAGCTGTGCGGCGACGCAAGGAGAGGATGCCGGTGCGTTTGCCACGGGTCGGAGAGCGACCAGCGGGCGCCGAGAGCGGTGTGGATTTGGCGATGCTGGTGTTGAGCCGCGCGGCGGGCGATTTGGGGTGCAACAGGCTTCGCGGACGAGTAGACACCATCTTAGGCGTGGTAACGACATTGCCGGTTGATGCAGATTTGGTAATGAGGATTGTTGGCGGCTTGACGACATCTTTTGATGTGAAGAAACTATCGGTGCCCTTGGATCGCTTAGAGAATAGGACAGGATCAATGTTCTCAAAGTCGTCGGTATCCACCACGTCAGATACTTTGCGCTTGCCCGGGGACCTCATAGAGATTGCTGTAACGCCTTTAGTAACATTACGACATGTGACTTATTCAGTCTTGAACTCATGATGGAACACATCGTTTGGGCGTGATCTGTTGGTAAAGCTTGGATGCGCTTCGGATTGGCACGAGTATAGTGGAGGGGCATTAATATGCAGGCAATCGGCAGGAGAATGCTTCAGTATATATTGGGCCGGAGTCTAGCAAGAAATAGATAGAAACGTACCATGCTGCTGTCTGTTTTTGCAGCTCGTCAATGTCTGAAGCCGGGCTCCATCAATGGGGGCGAACGGGATACGGGTAACGGTAGCCATGGTGGTGAGGGCTCGAGTGCGAATGCGCTTGGCCTGTGATTGACTGACTGTCAAGGCAAAACCCGAAGATGGGAGACTGAGGCCCAAGGATGTGCGGTTGCTCGCTTTGTTTGTTTATTTTGCCCTGGATTGTCGTTGCTTTCGCAATATGCTCAGGTTTAAAGTGCCGTACCTAGGAAAGAAAGTGGGTTCGAGAGAAGAGGAGCAGGCAAAGAGGCGGCGGAACGGGGGCGAAGAGGGGAATTCTGCGTACTTATTGCAGCCAAGCAATTACGTCGTAAATGGTGGCCGCCAAAGGCAAGGCCGGGGTGGGGGAAACCAATGTAATGAGTGTGTGACTTGTGTGTGGAAATGCGGCAGGCCGAGGTGGGAGGAGGCGCTTGTTGTCAGCCAGCGCGAGACGTGAATGGCCCAAGGAAGAAGGAAGAATAGGAAATTGAGACGAGTGGCAATCGCGCGCTCAGGCCTCAGACACAGCTTGGCTTGGGTTGCTGCGGGCTGAAGAGGCAGGTGGAAATGGATTAAGACGAATATTTCAAAGCGTGTTGCGACGCGTGGTGTTGGTGTACGGGATATGGGACCAAGGCTCCTGCTAGTATTGAGGAGAACTCTGGTCATTGCATGGATGCTCTGAAGCTCTCAACTCGTAAGTACCAAAGCTAACATAGTACACGACATAGGTAGAGCTGGCGCAAGGGTCTCGTTCGCGCATGGGAAAATCTCGCCGGGCCAGTGGATTCGTCTGATTTGCCAGCTCAGCGTCAAAAGTGTCACCAAGCACCGCCCGAACCTGCACGTCTTCAGCTTGTCATACCAATCATCGCGTCGAGATGTCCAGTGGAACGGCCCACTGAAATTAGAGGGCATTAGATTGGTTTCACGCGTAAAAATGCAAGGGTCCTTGCTATTCGCGTCAGCTTTTTGCCTTGCTTAAGCCGCTGCTGGAAGTGATGAGTCGCTTCAGTGCCCAGTTCGCTTAATCGTCCAAAGTACTTAAGGAGTCTTGGGTTATGGCAAACTACTGTGGATTGCCGTGTTCGTCTCACTGCCACTCCTAGCCTGGCGTTGGCAAGAAACAGAATTATATCCAGCGCGATACTCATCCATTTCTGTTGGTTTGTCCGCCTGCGCCTCTGCGTGAGCACAAACCAGCAACCCAAAGCCAATCGAATGCCAACGCATAAGATCTGCCTAAGTGCGTATTGTGTGAGATGGCAGCATAGTCTTCAGAGGCAAGATTATTGCTTTACCTGGTCCTAACAAGCTGTGGATGACAGGGGCCTTCAGCTCTACGGCCAACAACCCGTCTTGCAAAGCGGGCATGGCCACTGACCACATTAACGGCCAGTCGCGGTGTGGTTGCGGAAGGGTCGCCATAATATGCTAGACGAGGCATCCTTGGAATAGCTTTTCGGGTCAACAGCACGATGCCTGGCATGTCCGGTATGGATGGCTACTGTCGCCTCCACTAAGTTGTAACAGAACTTACTGGGTTGTGCCTCGGTAAAACAATTACTTGTATAGTAACGCGATCCACAAGTCAATTAATCGCCTAAATCCCCCGTGCACTTTGTGAATATTATCTTATTACTCCTCCGGGTAGTCTGAGGCGCCCACAAAGCGACGCCGGTTCGCCACCTGGAAGCAGAAGCAGCAATCCCGCCACTAGACCTCTATCTTAGTGCCCGGGCTGCTAAGTTTGAAGAACGGCTACGGCTTAGCGGGAAGAGAAATCTGCTTCGCAGCGCGAGCGCTAAAGCGTCACATATACTCCGGCAGGATAGGCCGGCGAAGAGGAAGCAGGCGTCGCAGCTACTCCGACTGGCAGGGTACACTATGGAGAAGGAGGCCCGGGGCTCCGAGTGGATGAGTGAGGAAAAGGAGGTCCCGGCTGCCCTCCTCGGCCACTGGAGGAAGAGATGGCTCACCGGAGCAGAGCATCACGATCGCCAGCGACGCGCTATCGCTGAGGAACCGGAGGGCCCTTCGATGCAGATACCGAAAGGGGGCAAGTATTTCGGCCTGAACCGACTGGAAGCGTCTACGCTGTGCCAGATCAGGACGGAAAAAATAGGACTAGCAGCCTTCTTATTCAAGACAGGGGCTTTTGGCGTGTACTCGCCGCTATGCCGCTGTGGCGACGCCCCTGATACGGCAGAGCACGTAATCCTCTTTTGCGGGCTGTTGGAAGGACCGAGGGAACGATTACGGGCCGCTATCGCACCACGGCCACTATACTCTCGCAGAGACCTCGCAACGGCAACAGGAGAACCAGTAGTTAGTGGGACTATTGTAAGGTGGCTGCTAGGGACGGGTCGGACAGCTTCAAGGCCCAGATAGCATCGATCTTCTCAGGGGGGACTTAGTTGGTAGATTGAGAACCAACGTAGTATGGTAGTGAACGCAACGCAGTCGCCAATAGGACGAACCGACGACGCAGCGTATGTATTTAGTCCAGCCATTAGGGCACGGTTTGACATACGGGAGTACTGGTAGAGGTACCGGGGGCTTCGAGCCTACGGCGTATTCAATAATAATAAATAATAATAGATTCTAATCTAATATTAAAAATATTACTATTTCCTGTGGGATTGAGCGCCACGGTTATGCCCTAGGCCGAAGGCGATGTAGCGGCAATTGCACTAGTGGGGTCAAAACCCTTCCTCATAGATAAAATAGCTACACAGAAGACACAACAGAGCAGATAGATAGATCAATCAACAGAGGATCTACGCAGAGTCATCAATAGAGGATTGAATCCCTCATTTCCTAGCTAAATCGGTGTCCCGGCTAAATCGGTGTCTAGCACTAACGTAGGTTAGTGAGCTTAAGCGAGTCCGAAATAAGTGGGGTGTGGCACGGTAGGCATAGCGAGCAAGCGTGGGGTCTGTCTTCGGAAGAATGAAAGGCCACCCGATAGGTACTTCTGCTGTAGTTTCGAGTAAGTAGTTGAGCGCCTGAAGTAATGGTTCCTAAAAAAGGTCCGAATTATTGTTTTCGTGACATCTGCCAACAGTAATACGGAACGTCGTCGGTCAGGGTCCGCCCCACACAAGCTTAAACGTTGATGAGGTTGGCGGCGGAGGCACTTTTTATTCCTTCCTTTTTCAATATGCCATTTTTGGCCCTTTACTTTCTGAAGCCGACAGTAGGGTCACTGTGTGTGCATCTTCAAGTTCTGGAGCCAATTGGGTCACCAAGTTGTCTTTGACAGAGCTACAGGCATTTCTCTATCTGCCACCATGTCGTTATCCAGAACCGTCGCCTTGCGCTCGACATTGCGAGCTGCCTCCAGACGGGCTACTCCTCGCCTCTTACTCTGGCCTGCAGCCCGAAGAAGCTACGCAAGCCAGCATGATGCTGCGAAATCTAGCGATATGCCTTGGTGAGTTTAAGACTACCTGGCAGACCAAGTAGACTAAGCAGACTACAACACTAACCGACTGCAGGCTCATTGGCGCAGTGGCCTTCACCGTTCCCTCAGCCGCCTATCTCCTCTACAGCGGCCCATCAAAGAGCGATCACCACGACGACAAATACACCGAGGAGAACCACGACGCCGAGGCGCCACCAGCAGACAACGAGTTTCCACAGGAGGAGAGCAACAAAAAGTCTGATGAGGACAAGTTCCCCGTGGAACAGGAACCCAAACACGGCAACCCGGCTGCAACCCATAAGCCATCGCAGACTGGTGGAAAGATTGCGCCCGCCTCAGCAGACAACTCTACGCTTGCCGAAAACTGGGACGACAAGGAGGGGCACGAGGAGTACAGGGAAACCGTGAGTTTTCTGAATACCATCATTTCTAGTGTTCCTACATTTCTGCTGGTGGCTCTCAACTTCTTTCTGCTACCAATCGAGGTCAGGGTGCATCACGTCATGGGTTTGGAGTAGGAAGTTGACAATCACCTGGGAACCCTTCCCGTTCTGGCACATTGGGAGATTGCTATCAAATACTGAAGTGAGCTAACATCCGCATCCAGACTGAGAATAAGGACACAAAGGCCGCGACAAGCTCATCTGACTTGTCCAGCAAAAAGGGCAGTATGGAGCACCCCCAAGAGGATCCTCGGTAGGGCGAGGGCGAAGGGGCCAGCAAGGGTGGACCTCGCGATGATTAGAAGACAACATGCCGTATCGAAAGGATGCCTTCACAGAATGGATGGCGGTAATCATAGTTGATATGTACAGTTATCAACCGACCCTAATCAACCGGGGTGCTCATATCACGATGAGCGGGTATATGATATGTATTTGTGAACATCATGGGATTCCAAATGATGCCCATGACTATTATAAATAATATTAAATACGCCGTAGGTGTTAACCCTCGGTACCTCTACAAGTACTCCCTTAAGGGGCTATAGATGATATAGCGGGCCCTTAAGCCGCGTCGGGCGGTTATACAGGTAAACTTGTAGCCAAACGACTACTAAACCTCCTGTCCCTCCCTAAGTCTGTGCTACAACCCCTGCCTGAACTACCGATAAGCGTGGTAATGTGGCACTTAAATTCGTCCTCAGGGGTGGGATGCTGCTGATGTGCAGAAGATGCTCGACTATTTTTTTGTCGCGACAAGTCGTAGTATCTGCTAATTGGGGTTCTCGTCGAGCGTATACATCTCAACCATACGCTCAAGTGGATAGACCGTAACGTGGTCTAGACGCTCGCAAGAATCGCGGCGAGGGGGCGTGCTGCGCGCCTTCTATCGTGAGGGGACGGGTTCGCCGACGAGCGTTATCGGATAGGCGAGGTCCGATAAGGGGTCGGATTAACGATTCGAATTCTGGACCGGCTGTCGAGTTATATTCCGCCGTCGGCTGGTGTAGTTGGTCACTTCGCTGGTAGATAAGTCCCGATTTCAGCCTCGCCCACTTGGGTCGGTGACGAGTCGCGGGTTCGAATCCTGCAGCTGACACACAAGGGGGTTTAGTCAACCCTTATGGCGCGCTGCCCACCTTGTTGACTTCGCCTACCTAGCGATAATAGGGAGATTGGTGCAGTTTAGGATTACGAGCATCCTAGCCAGTCGACCGTCAAGCACTACGTCGGCGGAATATAACTCGACAGCCGGTCCAGAATTCGAATCGTTAATCCGACCCCTTATCGGACCTCGCCTATCCGATAACGCTCGTCGGCGAACCCGTCCCCTCACGATAGAAGGCGCGCAGCACGCCCTCTCGCCGCGATTCTTGCGAGCGTCTAGACCACGTTACGGTCTATCCACTTGAGCGTATGGTTGAGGTGTATACGCTCGACGAGAACCCCAATTAGCAGATACTACGACTTGTCGCGACAAAAAAAATAGTCGAGCATCTTCTGCACATCAGCAGCATCCCACCCCTGAGGACGAATTTAAGTGCCACATTACCACACTTATCGGTAGTTCAGGCAGGGGTTGTAGCACAGACTTAGGGAGGGACAGGAGGTTTAGTAGTCGTTTGGCTACAAGTTTACCTGTATAACCGCCCGACGCGGCTTAAGGGCCCGCTATATCATCTATAGCCCCTTAAGGGAGTACTTGTAGAGGTACCGAGGGTTAACACCTACGGCGTATTTAATATTATTATATTCCGCCGACGTAGTGCTTGACGGTCGACTGGCTAGGATGCTCGTAATCCTAAACTGCACCAATCTCCCTATTATCGCTAGGTAGGCGAAGTCAACAAGGTGGGCAGCGCGCCGTAAGGGTTGACTAAACCCCCTTGTGTGTCAGCTGCGGGATTCGAACCCGCGACTCGTCACCGACCCAAGTGGGCGAGGCTCAAATCGGGACTTATCTACCAGCGAAGTGACCAACTACACCAGCCGACCATGACTATTATACTCCTGCGATTAAGGCCTATAGTAATTCTTGAAATGTTTGTGTCGCAGCTACTCCGACCGGCAGGGTACACTATGGAGAAGGAGGCCCGGGGCTCCGAGTGGATGAGTGAGGAAAAGGAGGTCCCGGCTGCCCTCCTCGACCACTGGAGGAAGAGATGGCTCACCGGAGCAGAGCATCACGATCGCCAGCGACGCGCTATCGCTGAGGAACCGGAGGGCCCTTCGATGCAGATACCGAAAGGGGGCAAGTATTTCGGCCTGAACCGACTGGAGGCGTCTACGCTGTGCCAGATCAGGACGGAAAAAATAGGACTAGCAGCCTTCTTATTCAAGACAGGGGCTTTTGGCGTGTACTCGCCGCTATGCCGCTGTGGCGATGCCCCTGAGACGGCAGAGCACGTAATCCTCTTTTGCGGGCTGTTGGAAGGACCGAGGGAACGATTACGGGCCGCCATCGCACCACGGCCACTATACTCTCGCAGAGACCTCGCAACGGCAACAGGAGAACCAGTAGTTAGTGGGACTATTGTAAGATGGCTGCTAGGGACGGGTCGGACAGCTTCAAGGCCCAGATAGCATCGATCTTCTCAGGGGGGACTTTGTTGGTAGGTTGAGAACCAACGTAGTATGGTAGTGAACGCAACGCAGTCGCCAATAGGGCGAACCGACGACGCAGCGTATGTATTTAGTCCAGCCATTAGGGCACGGTTTGACATACGGGAGTACTAGTAGAGGTACCGGGGGCTTCGAGCCTACGGCGTATTTAATAATAATAATAATATTGGATGGTCACGAGAGCCACCACTCGATGGATTTTGAGACTTACCTCGCGGCGCACGGCGTAATTACATTGTGTATGCCTTCCCATTCATCCCACAAGCTCCAGCCTTTGGATTTGGTACCTTTTAGTGTGTTGAAACGGCTGTACGGTGCGTTCGTGGAGGGTTTAATGCGAAGGCATCAAACCCATATTGAGAAGCAGGATTTCTTAGCTGGGTTTTTAGAAGCTTTCATTGGTGCTTTTCACGAAAAAAACATCAGATCAGGATTCGAAGCAGCTGGACTTGTTCCTTTTAACCCGGATAGGGTCATATCTACGTTGGATATCGCAAAAGTAGTACGAACACCGACACTCGACCCCCAATTGCCTCCCTCCGTCTGGGTTTCTAAGACGGCTACCAACACCCTCGAAGCCGAATCGCAGTCAACTTTGATTAAAAGTAGCGTCCAGAGGCATCAAGACAGCTCGCCGACACATATTTTGAACTCAATTAACTCGACTACGAAGGCTACGCATGCAATGATGCATGATGTTACACGCAAAGGTGGTCAAAGATTTGTGAGGTTGTAAAAGCATGACATTCTATCTAGTCCTATGGAGCACGAAGGTTGGACTTAGTCCCGAAGGGCTAAGTCACGTGGTAACCTTGGTGGTCTTGGCAAAGCCCACCAAGGTTGCCTAACACATGAGAATGCATTATTACGTCGGGAGAACGAAGAGCTTCGTGAGACGAACCATATACTAAGTAAGCGTCGTAGGACGGAAAATAAGCAAATCCAATATGGAGGAGCACTTAGTATGCATAGGTGATGCACAAGTTTTACGGGCCTTGAGGGGTGATATCAAGGTTATGGAGGAGGAAGAAGGGGAAAGCAGTCGTCCTGTAAAGCGCCGGCAGACCGGTATAAGGCGCTGTGGTATTTGCGGAGGGACTGGACATAATGCAAGGACTTGTTCAATAGAAGTAGAAACTGATAATGAAGAAGATTTTGAGTAATTTAAAGGATAAAATGCGGGTTATGCATAGGATATTACTGAATTACTTGAACGTGCCAAGAAAAGTGCGAAAGTGACTTGTGTGCGAAAATGACTTGTGGATCACGTTAACCATTCCGTTGTGTGCTTTTGCTGGCTGGGTTGCGATCGCTAGAAGAGTTGACAACTCGTCACTAACCACGTCTAGATGACGAGGTTGCGGGTAAAGCTTTCTATGACGACGGGATGATTTCAAAAGTCGAACACATGGTTCAGATTATATAGTCATCTTCTCTCAAAAGCATCGAAACTTATTGCAGCACTGGTAATGGCTACGAACAAGAGCTTAGATCTATTATATTATATTATTATTAAATACGCCGTAGGCTCGAAGCCCCCGGTACCTCTACAAGTGCTCCCGTATGTCAAACCGTGCCCTAATGGCTGGACTAAATACATACGCTGCTACGTAGGTTCGCTCTATTAGCGACTGCGTTACGTCCACCACAATACTATGTTAGTTCTCACCCTACTAACAAAGTCCCCCTGAGAAGATCGATATTATCCGGGCCTAAGCGCTATCCGGCCAGTCCTGAGTAGCCACCTTGTGATGGTCCCGCTGACTACTGGTTTCCCCGTCGCCGTTGCCAGGTCTCTACGTGTATGCAGCGGCCATGGTGCGATAGTGGCCCGTAGGCGCTCTCTCGATTCTTCCAGCAGGCCGCAAAAGAGGATTACGTGCTCTGCCGTCTCGGGGGCCTCTCCACAGCGGCATAACGGCGAGTACACACTGAAGGCTCCTATCTTAAATAAGAAAGCTGATAGTCCTATTTTTCCGGTCCTGATCTGGCATAGGGTAGACGCCTCCGGTCGGTTTAGGTCTGAGTACTTGCCCTGTTTCGGCATTCGCATCGAGGGGCCCTCCTGCTCCTCGGCGATAGCGCGTCGCTGGCGGTCGTGTTGTGCTGCCCCGGAGAGCCATCTCTTCTCCCAGTGGTCTAGGAGGGCGGCCGGGACTTCCTTCGCCTTGCCTATCCACTCGGAGCCCCTAGCCTCCTTCTCTATCGTGTACCCCGCTGGTCTGAGCGATTGTGACGCCCGCTTCCGTCTCGCCGGCGTGTCCTGTCGGAGTATGTGTGACGCTCTCGCGCTCGCGCTCCGAAGCAGGCTCCTTTTGCCGTTATTCCGTAGCCGTTCTTCAAATTTCGCCGCCCGGGCACTGAGATATAGGTCTAGTGGCGGGATAGCTGCCTGTATTTCTAGGTGTCGGACCGGTGTCGCTTTGTAGGCGCCACAGACTATTCGGAGGCACTCATTCTGTATCCCGACTAGGCTCTTAGCTGGTCCCGCTGGTTCCTCGCTTATAGTGTGCCACGCAGCCGCCCCGAAGGCGATCGCGCTGCGAATAACCGACGTGTACAGTAGTCTCGCCCGTATGAGATCGCAGCCCCACGCTTAGATCTAATTGCTATACTTGTAGCTGCGCTGAACTTCTATATATGACCCGTTGATAGAACAGATAGCATCGTGGCTCGATTTCGATTTTTTTAGTGCTAACATTCCAAGAAGCTATGAAAGAGGGTTTCCCATTTATACCATGAGTGATATAGGTTCAGGACAGCCTATTCTAAGCGAAAGCACATACTCACGTGGCCTATTTGAATAGGTATATCTCATACAGAGGCTGGTTCACATAGCTGTGTAGCGTCCTGAGCTAATTCAATAGTGCCATCAGGAGTCTCCCTTACTGAAAACAATAGATTAGCTATTATGAGAGCGAGTCGAGTCGTTTATTTAAGTTAGTTATCCTACGGATATTGTAGTAATATACTCTCAATACTATAGTACTTAGACCCTAATCTAAGTATTAATCTAACTGATACATAGGGTCACGTATCACTAGCCTATTAGTAAGATATATGTAACGAAACCTCTAATAGTCTAGCTGCGTAAACCACTAAAGAGTCTGTAAGGGTTTGTGCTAGTAAGTAAGTCCTGCTGTGGAGTCCTCAAGCAATAATATCGGGGTTTGACGTATGGAGTAGAGTGCTTTGGGTAACTGAAGTATTCAAGTAGGGTAACTGGGAATAGAGTCGTCAAGGCAGTTTGCCTCACCAATGGGTTAGATTGATGCTTATATTGATCACTGAAGTAGAGACTGTCTATCTATGAAATGCCTGGGAGTCCTGTCCCTTATATACCCATCTCTCCTTCACTGATTGATTGATTGATTGAAATTTAACGTCTCATCACGTGAGACGTGCCGGGCGCAGTGCCGGCATGGTCTATGCTAGTCGAATCTATGTTACAGGGGACTGTCTTCATCTAACATTCCTGTTCAGTGCGATGGGCAGATCTCAGTAAAGAAATTGGTCTCCTCCGCCCATTGACAAAACAAACGAGCTCCCTTGGCCGTGCCTAGGAGGGAATCTATACTATTCTTGGCCATATGCGCTTTTAGATGACCGGGCGTGGCCTTGCGGCCGCGCTTGCAAAAGTAGAAGTGGACTGGTGTCTTTGTCTTTCCACACCCGCAGTTGAGCAGTGCGTCGCGATGCTGGAGTCTCTCGTGGTAGGTCACGAAATCCCCGTGGTGCGACCTCGCTGCGTCCTTCACTGATCCCCACTTGGATATGTTGGACAACCAACATATCCACCCCTGTAGGTCAGGTGACCTATCGGTCCTTTCCTTCCTCCGATGCGGGGTCCCGTGATCCTAGCGTCTGTATCCACCTGGCCTGCCGACGGGCCTGTAATGTTGGTTCAGGGCCAACATGTCACGCCGTGCTAGGGGTTGCAATCCTTGCCACTACGCCACCTTACCAGATGTCTTCACCAAAAGAGACCAATACCAAAGTCCCTGACTTTGATATCTGCAACCACTTATCAATCTGTTCAGACCAGTGTAGGTCAATCACGTGACAACCGTCACACAACGGTTCGTAACATCCAACAGCCCGCAAAAGAGGATTACGTGCTCTGCCGTCTCAGGGGCGTCGCCACAGCGGCATAGCGGCGAGTACACGCCAAAAGCCCCTGTCTTGAATAAGAAGGCTGCTAGTCCTATTTTTTCCGTCCTGATCTGGCACAGCGTAGACGCCTCCAGTTGTCGAATATCACGTGTGTCCAATCGAGTAGTCAGAAGTGCATAAGATTGTATTATGAATGAGGGTGTGTTTGTCAGGGTACGGCTAGGCCGAAGGTAATAGTACAGAGTGATGGGGAGTAACGGGCGTCCCTCCTACGTAGCACCGGGTGGTCACTGGCGGTCTCAGGTAGGGGTGCCCACGGTGATGCATTGATCTCTGCCCTCTCTATCTTCCTTCGTCTCGACTCCTTACTTATAGCCAGCCGAGGTTCTCTCTTGGATTCTGGATGGTTGCTTCCGTATGTCTGTGTTCCTCCGACTTCGGCCAATATCTTGGACAGCGGCTCCTTATCTGCAACCAAGCGATTCCCTATCCGTTGCAAACGGCTTCCTACCTGGTGGAAGCCGGCCCGCCTCGGATGACACTTGTGGCTCTGACAACTCCTTCCCTATCCTACTTCGAGATGGTCCTTATATAGATAGCTAGGCCGCCGCTTGGACCCGGCATAACAGCAGGGTCGGCGATGCCAAGGATCTTGACTCTCGTCATCCCAAAGCTTCACATAGATTGTAATCATGATTCGGGAGTCTTTTGTCCGAAACACCCCTCCGGCGGCCCACCGGTGTCCTGCGTTCAGTGTCCTGACACCCACTGGTGCCTATGGCATTCTGTTCTCTGACAGTGTTGTTGTCTGTGTTCTGTTCTCGTGAACTCCCGTTGCTCTGCCCTTTATAGATTCTTTCGGAAATGTCGGAGGTGCATTGTTCAGGTGTCTGACCCCGAACTTCGGAGTTACTTTCGGGAAGAGGGGTTCATTTCGCCGTCTGAACTTCAAGTGACACTAGTCTTCTCTAGTGCCATATTATTTCTGAACCTAGGAACCAGGTGTCATATCTGACACCAGTCGGGTCAGGCCGAAATACTTGCCCCCTTTCGGTATCTGCATCGAAGGGCCCTCCGGTGAGACCTCGCAACGGCAACAGGAGAACCAGTAGTTAGTGGGACTATTGTAAGGTGGCTGCTAGGGACGGGTCGGACAGCTTCAAGGCCCAGATAGCATCGATCTTCTCAGGGGGGACTTAGTTGGTAGATTGAGAACCAACGTAGTATGGTAGTGAACGCAACGCAGTCGCCAATAGGACGAACCGACGACGCAGCGTATGTATTTAGTCCAGCCATTAGGGCACGGTTTGACATACGGGAGTACTGGTAGAGGTACCGGGGGCTTCGAGCCTACGGCGTATTTAATAATAATAACTATAGCGCTTAAGGAAGCGTATAGTGTAACGGGGTAAGGCCGGACATCAGGGAAATAGGTTACGGGGCTAGGAGAAAGTTTATTTTCTCTTCTTCAAGAGGCACAGAGGCAGAGTAGGACACGAGTCCCTCATCTTCATATCATCATCTCCTTCTTATCTATATCTTCACCTTCGCTTTCCAGTCAGTTATTTAGTTATTTTAGTTATTCAGCTTATCTTTACGTTCGAGATCCTATTATCACGATACGAGTATCAGAGGCACATCCGACCAACTCGCGCACCAGACGTATAAGAGCTTCACTCTTATAACCAGTACCACGATCTTCGTCTGATAAGACCACCAGATGGGATCTGTTGGTACTGGAGCCGTCTGTTCAGTGTGTTAGTGGTAGGTATATCCTACTGACTGTCACGACCTGGGTTGCATCGCATTGGTAGAGACCTCGATTAGGTGCTATCGACGAAGATTCTACTCTAAGGAGCGAAGGAAAGATCACAAACTTAGGTTTGAGGGAGCGCGACTAAGTCGTCCACGCTTGGCGGGGATCCTGCAGGGGTTATGATTGGCTTCCCATCTGGCACTGCCATGGCAGGTGTTCCAGCTGTACGTCACCTGGTTGTAGTGAGTGCGAGGGTTGACCTTCACACTGACCGCCTGACCCCGTTTCAATAGTCTATTTAGTACCTACTATAAGTAGCGGTAAATTTAGTTAAATCTTAACTCTCTTACGTAGGATAGTATTTATAGCGTTAGTAATGAACTCTACGCGGACCGTAAAATTAATTGTATTAAGCCGGTTAACGTAGTTATAGAGGGCCTTTTCTTCGGCTATTGTAAGTAGCTTATTAAGCCCTCGTAGTTTAATAGTAACGGCTTACTAGACGCGGTATGTAAGGAAAGAGCCGTTGTGGCGGGCCGGTCTCAGTTGACAAGCTGAGTCGGGAGGGATTCGCCCCCGATCCGGTAGAACCCCGGAACCGCCCAGCTTAAGAGGAGAACTCGAGACGCTCGCACCTAGTTTAGATTCTTCAAGAATCAGTCTTGCAATATACGCACCCATACACTGGCCTACTTCTAGCTACCCTTTGCACTACCTGACTATTATATTGTGAGACGTGTGGTATCCTCGTTACACGGTATCGTAAGGTCTCGCGTAGGATACCGAATATACGCGTAACTTACACGAGGCTTCCCTCAGAGTTCGTCTGCGTACAGCGTATAGCGTCCTATATCTTTAAATCTATCGCGATCGAAAAAATACCTTGATTTGGTAGAGATGTGGTAGTTTGAAGGTAAGCTCGTCGAGAAATTGGCCAAATCGGTGTCCAGCACTAACTTAGGTTGGTGAGCTTAAGCGAGTCCGAAATAAGTGGGGTGTGGCACGGGTAGAACAAGCACGGCAACCCAAACACTTGGGAACACAGCTTGACCCCACCATTGATTGTACCTGCCCTGAGGAGACGACCCTATGACTACACAATATCTCCGAGTCCCATCAAGCGCAACATTCAATGACGCCGCGTACTATTTTCTGAACCCTGACTGCGCTTGTTGCGAAGCACAAAGCAGCGAAAGCAGCTTTGAGACATTCTGGGACACCCTGATCCCTTCAACTAGCTTTCTGGTACGTACAACTTCTGCAACATCTGGACGTGCGCTCTTCTTGGTCTCCAACCCGTCCCTCTCCTGTCTATCACCGCACCTGCCTCAGCTCCAGATTAATAGTTGACATTGGACACCTTACTTTCATTATTTCGGCGAATCTCTATGGAACGGGTTGTTCATTCCTTGAAATTCGCTGTGGAATTCAGTCCAATGACATTTTTCTGCTGTCTCAACACACTGGCTGACAGACATAGAAGTAGGCATCTCCGACCGTCTCGACCTCGACTCCAACCCATTTCATGACCATCCCGTACCTACTAGGCGTCTAGGTTAGCCCAGGGTCGACAAAATGGCGACCTCGCTCAATAACCCGACGCCTGGCACCATCAATGCTCTGCTGGGCAAGCTGAGCGACGCAGATCCCGACTTCCGATTCATGTCCTTGACGGATCTGAACACTATCCTTACCAAGCAGAAGCCCGATTTCTTGCAACATGACTACAATACCGCCTCACGTATTGTGGACGCCGTCATTAAGGCATTGGATGATCAGAATGGCGAGGTTCAGAACCTAGCTATCAAGTGGTACAAATGCGCACCCCGCAGGCTGTAGAGGACTCAAATATCAAGCTCTTGCTAACAAATGTCTTCCCAGCATCGGTCCACTGGTTTCTAGAATTCCCACCACGGTCGTTGCCCCCACGCTTGAGAAGCTCACCATGATCAAGATGAAGAACTCGCCCGACAATTCCCTCCCTTCTCTGGCTCTCCGAAGTGCTATCTCGGCGTTACCCAAGCCTGTTCGCGGTATTGCCCCCACGAGAGAGGTGGTTGACACCTACAACATCATAAGCCGTGTCCTGATCCCGCGCATCCTTGGCTTCTCCACTACTTCGAATGCATCTCGGCCCATGGCCGGTGAACCGCAGGGACTCCTCGACGAGAAGAGTGAGGTAACCTCGGAAGCGGTTGATGTCCTGATTGAGGCAGTACGGTGCTTTGGCCCCTTGTTGCAGCCCCTCGAGGTTGAGAAGTTGCAAGATGTCGTCGTACACGTCCTCGAACGAGACGGCACCTCGTCACCTGTGAAGAAGCGCGCTGTCGTCGCTCTCGCCATTCTCGGTCCCTATCTTTCTCCTGAGGTCTTGAACGGGCTTATCAACAAAATCAATACGGCATTGCAACGTCCAAAACTTCACCCTGTAATGCTGCGGCTTTACATCAACATTATGGGCTCGCTTGCCCGATCTATTCCCCATGAATTCGGCGAACACCTACCCACACTCCTACCCTTCATCTTGAAGACGCTTGGCCAGGACCAGCTCCAAGTGCAGTTGGAGGCTGTTAGCGAAGGCAATGACCAAGCCTCTGTTGAGTTCAACGAGGTCCGTGAAGCAGCATTGGTAGCTCTTGATGCCTTCCTTGCGTCATGTGGCACCCAGATGCGCTCATTCACTGAGGATGTCATTGCTTGTTGCCTTCGATATCTTAAGTATGACCCCAACTATTCGATGGATGAAGATGAAAATGATGACGGAGATGACGAAGAATATGAGGATGATGACGAATTCGGGGATGACGCAGGCTTCGACGACGATGACGATGCAAGTTGGAAGGTCCGGAGATGTGCAGCAAAGACCCTCCACACCCTCATTTCCACTCGTAGCAGCGATTTATTGGATAAGGGAACCTTATATTCTGAGGTTGCTTTGCCACTTGTGAAAAGATTCGATGAGCGAGAGGAGAGCGTGCGGCTGGAGGTCATTGGAACCATGGCTCTCCTTGTCCGAAAGACCGGGGAGGGCGTTATTCGGTCCTTATCTGCAGATGAACAAGACTTGCTGCAATCGCTTCCAGAGAGTCGCAAGCGACGGAGGCAAAGTAGTGGTGGAGTCACTATGACAAGCAAGGCGCCTTACTTGGGCGCGACCGGCTTGACCTCCCCCGCTCGAGAGGAGGTGCCGTCGACAGGGCCACGCGCAGATCTGTCCAATATGACGCCCTCCATTGTGAAGACTGCGACGAAACTGCTCAAGGGCAAGCAAATTCCTACCAAACAAGCAATTATCAACTTGCTCGACGACTTGATCTCGGTTCAGCATGGTGGTCTCTCGGAATACTTCGACGTGATCATGCAGCCCATCATTGAAGCCACAAAAGTCTCTGTCGGGGCTACGGGTTCAACTTCCACAACGCTCTCTGGAGGCGCGGCTTCGGCCACTGCTACCACGCTTCGTGTTGCAGTGCTCGCCTTCATCAGTGACATAGCAAAGACGCATTCGTCCAACTTATTTCAGCAGTACCTGTCCAAGATCGTAGCTGGCGTTGTTGCTGCAGTACAAGACCGGTTCTACAAGATCTCGAGCGAGGCCATCAGAACTGCCGAGGAGCTGGTCAAGGCTATCACGCCTCCGCGTGCGCGGCTCACATCCAAGGCCAACAAGCCCGAGTTGCACAAGCTATACGATATCATTATCGATCGGACCGCCGCCAACGATGCTGATGTCGAAGTCCGCCAAAAAGCCATCCAGGCGCTGGGCACGCTCCTGTCAAGAACTTCGACTCATGATGGACTAACTCTCCTTCCAGCAGACAAGAGACAAGCGGGTCTCGCTTTGCTTCTGGACCGGCTGCGCAACGAGACGACCCGTCTTTACGCAGTGCGCGCTATTGATAATGTCGCGGCACACTCGTCTACTGTCGGGAGTCTAGATCCCGCATGGATTCAACCTGTGGTACTGGAGCTTTGCGGACAGCTCCGCAAATCACATCGTGCCCTTCGGGGTGCCAGTGTCCAGGCATTAAAGCATCTCATCACATCTCCTGCTTCCAAGGGCAATCTTTCGGCCGACACCATCAGCGGAGTCGTCATGGCTATCCAACCCGTCATTGCGGCTAACGATAGCCATCTTCTTGGTCCAGCACTACTAGTACTCGCCCATTTACAGCAAGACATTCCGCAACTCATCTCATCCCCCAATCTTATCCCGGGTCTCTGCGAGCTTCTCAAGAAGAACATAGCGGGATCCGCGCTAGATTCGCTGATTGCATTTGTGATTAGTGTTGGTCAGGCTGGAGTTGGCCAGCCTTTGATGCTCGGTGTCTTGAATGTTGGCGTGGCCGGTGACCCCGCCGTGGTGGGCAAGGTCGCTGGAACACTATTTGTTGCAAGTAATGGGAGCTCGGGAGTCGACATAAACAGCTTCATCAATGAGCTGCGTGCCTCGAGTAAAGCCCAGGATACTGCCCGTCAAAGTCTAGCACTGGCTATTCTAGGAGAGATTGGCCTTCGCCTCGGAGCTCAATCTCCAATCACACCAGAGATTTTCTTGAATGAGTTCAACGAAGAGCCTGACAAGGTCTCCATCTCTGCTGCCGTCGCCCTTGGACGCGCTGGCGCTGGCAATGTGTCGGTATTCCTCCCTATGATATTGAGCGAGATTACCGAGGGAGGCAGCCAGATGGACGAGAATGCCGGCCCAAAGCAACGCAGTAAGCAGTACCTGCTGCTTCAATCCATCCGCGAAATTTTGCATCAGGTTGTCGTTTCATCTACAGACATTGGTGCCTACGAATCGACCATCTGGGAGCTGCTTTTTGCGGCTTCGCAGACCGAAGACAACAAGGCCATCTGTGCTGAGTGCATTGGTCGATTAGTCATTATCGACCCAAAGACATACATTCCGAAGCTTCAGGTATCTTAACTCAGCCCATATTTTGCTGTTATACCTAACGTGTTGTAGGCATTATTCAAGAACCCCTCCACCGAGTTTAGGGGTGTGGCCGTCCAAGCGATTAGATACACGCTACCAGATAGCGATGAGTCGTTCGACGCCTTGTTGAGAGATGTGCTATTCGAGATGCTCCTCACCGTCCTCCAAGACGAGGACATGGTGATCCGTCGTCTGGCGATGACGACTCTGAATTCGGCCGCCCACAATAAGCCCGACCTCATCTTGCCCCACCTGGGACAGCTGGTGCCTTATGTAATGACGGAGTCCGTGATTAAGCCAGAACTCATTCATGAAATTCAAATGGGTCCCTTTAAACATCAGGTTGATGAAGGACTTGAGGTTCGCAAGGTAAGCTACTGCCGTCAACTACTGAGTTAAGCGTGATATCTGGTCCCTTGTGACTGAATGTTCCGCAATTCGTCGTAGAGTTGAATTGCTAACGAAAGACGCAGAGTGCTTACGAAACCCTGTATGCGTTAATGGAGACTGCGTTCTCACGCATCAGTTCCTTGGAGTTCTACGATCGTGTTATTGCTGGACTTCGGGATGAGAACGACATTCGGTCACTGTGCAACCTGATGCTGAGCAAGCTGATTGTCATCGATCCTGACGAGACGACACGACGCCTCGATACTATTGCCGAATGTTATCGCAAGATTCTTTCTACTAAGTTGAAGGAGGGCTCCGTCAAGCAGGAGGTGGAGAAGCAGGAGGAGGCCAACAAGTCAGTGCTGCGTGTGACGCTTCTTCTGGTGGACAAGACCAAGACGACTCTGCCCGGCGCTAATGTCGTGGGCGCGTCTAACCAAGCACAGCAGCCTGTCAGCAATCCTGTGTGGCAACAGTATTGGGAATGGGTCAACAAGGACTTCGAGAGGCAGGTTAAGAGCCTCCGCGAGGAAAGCAAAGACCTGGTCTAGGACACCGCTTGGAGTTTTGGACAGGACATGGAGACAACGTGCCATGATTTTGGCAGGTTATCGTGTTCTGAGAAATACGATGAGATGTACTGCTGGTTGTACCAAGAGGCCTCAGACTTGACCGTCAATTTCGAGTCGGGCAGTGAGTGAAAATAAATAACCAAAACAAGTGGCGGCAGAGAAAGCCGTAGCTGCTGCAAGTAATGATGATGCGACTAGCTTTTGCACAGTGTTAGATCCAATAGGAGTTACTACTTATTGAAGGGAAAAGGAACAAAACATTCTGGAATCTTGATATACAAGTAACTGCTACTGGTTTTAAGGTCGACTTGTAGCAGGGACGAATCTATTTGACTAGATCTTAGGGATTTTGGTACCGAGGTGCGTGATAGTCCCCGCAGTACCCGATGAATCAACTGAACCACGGAGGTCAAAGATGATGCGACGGTCTCATGAACCTTGATCTTGTCAGGGTCAACGGCATTCTGTTTACACTGCCTGTATCAGTCTCAATGTCTTCGATTATCCACCGGCTTTCAAGGTGTGCCTGATCCAATCCAACCGTCATGAATTGCTTAAAGGCACGTGGAAGAAGGCCTACGCAAGTGGTAACGATTATTATCATATTCGTAGCTATTACAGCCAAAATATCGCCAACGTGGTTAAGGATAAATATAACGCTATCCTTGACCCCGGTACTAGCGAAGGAGGAAACGCCGGATTGGAATTAAAGTGTAACGAGGATACCACACGTCTTATAATATAATAGTTAGGTAGTATAAAGGGTAACTAGAATAGGCTAGTATATAGGTACCTAGGAGGGATACTACTTATAGCTAGTACTACTCGTACAAGTAGACGGGATATTACTCTCGATAGTACCCGAACTATAGGAGCTACGTGTAACGAAACCTCTAATAGTCTAGCTGCGTAAACCACTAAAGAGTCTGTAAGGGTTTGTGCTAGTAAGTAAGTCCTGCTGTGGAGTCCTCAAGCAATAATATCGGGGTTTGACGTATGGAGTAGAGTGCTTTGGGTAACTGAAGTATTCAAGTAGGGTAACTGGGAATAGAGTCGTTAAGGCAGTTTGCCTCACCAATGGGTTAGATTGATGCTTAGATTGATCACTGAAGTAGAGACTGTCTATCTATGAAATGCCTGGGAGTCCTGTCCCTTATATAGCCAACCTCTCCTTCACTGATTCCTTGATCATGTGAAGGTCAACCCTCGCAGACTCACTACAACCAGGTGACTTACAGCTGGAACACCTGCCATGGCAGTGTCAGATGGGAAGCCAATCATAACCCTTGTAGGAGCCCCGCCAAGCGTGGACGACTTAGTCGCGCTCCCTCAAACCTAAGTTGTCATCTTCTTTCCTTCGCTCCTTAGAGTAGAATCTTCGTCGATAGCACCTAATCGAGGTCTCTACCAATGCGATGCAACCCAGGTCGTGACAGATCACTTCCGGCTCACAGCTCAGAAGGTGATCCAGGTCACGTGACCGTTCCTGTCTTTGTGGTAATAGTTCTTCCTTCCCGTGTCGGGGTTCCTGCGGCCTGCCATCGGGCCTGGTTGGTTTAGTTGGTTAGGAACCAACGGTTCGTAACACTTGTGACGACTGACACATGGACGATAAGCAGGGACATCCTGACATGGCCTGCCCTGATCTGGACGAGCGCGTTCCCCTTATAATAGGAGAACGGCCAGACATACTTGTAACCCTTCCCTTCTCTTTCTTCCCTAGTTTAGTATTCAACAATAGAGATGCACTGATATGCAACCTTGATTCGTACCTATGTGCCTCTGCCTCGTTACAACACTACGGTAGAACGAGTTATAACGGACCTTATCCTAAAAGCCGGAATCTAAACGTATCGCCGCTAAGGGTCCGCTATAGCGAGCTATAATAAGGGTACGAGTAGCCGCTCCGTCTAGAAACTACTATCCGCCTCTAGATCGGCGGCTACTAGGAGCCATAGAGTGCTGTATATAGCAGTTAGTGGGACTAAGTGTTAGTGATCTACTGGCATTCTAGATCTTTTGGTCTATTAGCTTAGGGGCTTGGTCCTCCCTTGTGACATTTATAGAAAAAGTATATAACTTAATAATATACGTAGCTTGATAGTTTAAATTAATCAAAATTAAGCGGATTTTAGTTTACTTGTCGATTATTGTCAGATAGGGCACCTGGTTCCTGTCAGATAGGACACCTGGTTCCTAGGTTCAGAAATAATATGGCACTAGAGAAGACTAGTGTCACTTGAAGTTCAGACGGCGAAATGAACCCCTCTTCCCGAAAGTAACTCCGAAGTTCGGGGTCAGACACCTGAACAATGCACCTCCGACATTTCCGAAAGAATCTATAAAGGGCAGAGCAACGGGAGTTCGCGAGAATAGAACACAGACAATAACACACCTCATTCATATACAATCTTATGCACTTCTGACTACTCGATTGGACACACGTGATATTCGACAATTAAGAGTCTCACTGCCTCTGGCATCATTGTTTTTTCACAGAACTTCATTTAGGCATGTCACGGCCTCCCTTCGAGAAAATCACAATGTCAAACAAATACGCCAACACAACCTTCCTAGCCTCTGGCAAGTACTGGGAAGAATGGTCAGCAGAGTTCAGAGGCAAAGCCAAAGCCATGGATCTCTGGAAGTATATCAGACCTACTAATCGACATTACTGGCCTACACCTCCTAAGAAGCCAGTCGTGAAAGACTACACAGTCGACAAGAACCTGGAAAGGGCTTTTCAGGTGGCCTGGAGAGAGAGCCAGATTGAAATCGCAGAGCGCTCTGAAAACTCGCCAGATATCGAAGCCGCACCTGAGATGGTTCCTACAAACCATCTGAGCTATCAAAGGACGGCAAGGCTGAGTATGCCATCGACACTTCTGCGTATCAACAAGACCACCGAAAGTACAAGGAACACCGGGACCATAGGATCGAGCTCAGAAACTGGGTAACCGAGCACATCCATCCAGATCTCAAGAAACACCACTGTGGTGAGGACGAATCTCTGGATCAGTGGTACACCAATCTTGCACTTGTAGGACAAGCATACGAAGAGGACGCAAGACCGGCAGCCCGGGACGCCTACTTGAGTCACCTCAAACCGTTAACTAGTCCACCAAAGGACATGAACGACTGGATTGATACCTGGGAAAAGGTAGTCCTCACTGGAAAGAAGAAGAAGATTGGAGAGACGATCAACTCTGACTCCTGGGGAAGAGACCTTCTGAAGGCCCTGTCCGGGATATGGCCTACATGGACGACAACCTTCAGCATGACACGCCAATCAGATATGGTAGCAGACAGACTCGACGTCGGGGACATTGCTGCAGAGATGCGACGAGTTGCACTCATGAAGAACGGCGTGCTACCAGCAAAACGTGCTGTGAGAGGCTCGTTTGTGACGTTCAACCAGGACGCATGTGACGAGGCAGAAGAGAATCCTCTCACTCCTACAGTGCCTCGCAAGACTACCAATGGCAGAAGGAGTGGAGGAAGAGCAAAACGAAAAAGGGCAGAATCGACAACAGTCGAGGACAAATCGGCAAGTTGGTGCCAAGCGTGTCTAGGCGAGCACCCACTACAATCATGTTGGCACGTGTTCAAAGACAAGAACCCCTACTACGAAGAAGGCAAAGAAAACAAGACTGTTACAAGACTTGTTGCCCACAGGATCAGGACAGAAAAAGGTCTGAAGGAGGAAATAGAGAAGATCAAGTAGGCAGCAGTCAACAGTTGACTAGCTCAGTTCGAACTCAAGATGGGCAAGGTGCCAGCGAGCTTCCTGATAAGGAAAGGGAGCACCTATCCCCTGAAGAACTCGACAATTCTTGATTCCGGAACAACTCTCCATGTCTTCAACGAGATCAGCAGGTTCCAAAATTTCCGAACGCCAGCCACAAGAGACATGATCTACGCAGGCAAGGACATAATGAAAATTGAAGGATACGGAGACGTTGATATTGAGGTACAGGGCGACCAAGGACCAAATATACTGAGGCTTCATGATGTGGCCTGGTGTAGAGGGTTCGCCTATAACCTCGTATCTCTTCGACTGCTTCGACGCAAGGGGTACTGGTGGGATAACAAGTATCCGAACAACTCATTACGACGGAAGGACAATTCTCTGGTGTGTCAGATCACGGAGATGTTCGACCAAGTCGTAATATAATACTTGCCACTGGAAATAACCCCACAAACCTTCTTTACACGTCGCAATCAACACATTTCTGCTACAAAAGGTAAGCCAAAACTGGTCACAGCAGAACGCTGGCATCTTCGTATGGGCCACCCAGGCCCAGAGGCACTGAAGCACTTGGTTAGCCATTCAGAAGGAGTCAAGGTCAAGGGTCCCTTTGGCCCAAAGACTACTGAGTGTGATGGCTGTGGCACCGCCAAGACTAAGCGACAAGTATCCCGGATTCCAAAGGAACCGGAAACAGAACCAGGAAGCTGCATTGCGGTGGATTTCCACGATCTCGAAGAAGACGACGAGGGCTTCTCAAGACTGTGTCTGTTCACCGACAGATACTCCGGATACTCATGGGACTACTACATGAGAGACAAGACAGCAGAGTCAATTATTGAAGCACTGGATGATGTTTTCGGTATCCTCGAGCGACAATTCGACATCAAACCAAAGTCAATCGAGTGCGACAACGAGATCACACAATCCTTCAAACTGAAGGGGTGGCTCCAGGCACGATATCTCAAAGTCAAGCCCTCTGCTCCACATACACAAGCCCAGAACGGTGGTGCCGAGCGCTTAGGGGGTGTGGTCAAGGAGAAATCGCGAGCTATGAGAGCAAGCTCAAAACTTCCAAGCTTCCTCTGGAAAGAAATTTACCAGGCAAGTGTATACCTGTACAGCAGGACTCCTAAGTACTTGTACAATTGGAAGTCACCATATGAGCGTTTCTACACCTACGTGGCCAACAGGGACAGAACCACAGTCACAGCAAAGAAGCCTGACCAAC